CGTCACACTTTACCCATTGTCGGTCCCCTAGACTACTCTGTCTTCATACTGAACCTCTGTTAAGAGAATACAAAGTGTATGTACTATGTGTCTGTATATAGTTGAAAAGAAGCTTCGAAATAAAATAGGCACATTTTATACCATAAATTTTGTTCTTCTCGCCTTGATGAAGATAACCAAGAGAACAGGTTGTATAAATTGAGCAATCCGGGAAAAGGATCAACCACTACATTGCATTCATTTGCAAGTAATCACACAATAGGATGGGACAGTAGGTGAGAGTATTAAAATGTGATATAGTTAGGTCTAGAGCTACAGACAGAGAGGTTCATCACCGAACTTTTGCTTATCGAATCGACAGTAAGCATTTACAACACCTAGCCCGGATGTATATAAAATTGTATTACAGGGACAAGAGTGAGTAAGGCTATACAAAGCAAGTTATGTAAATACAGTACAGAGGAGCTGTGCAGTTAGTTACACAGTGTTCTGAAAGGTTATGGAAGTGCCTATGCAAGTCAATTATTAATATCAGCTGGTAACAAGACAAGTCAGGAAAAATAATGTATGAATTACGAAACTTAGTTAATCAGTTTAACATAATCTAAAAAGCATTAGGAGATGAACATCGCTCAGCTTTGATTACAATTAAAACGGCAAGCACTTGGAATGTTGTCCATAAGAGTAACACTTTCAGAATATGTATAAAGTATTTTTTTCTTAAGTTAGGAGATGAGTGCAGATGAGTTACATACAAAATTAGTCAACAAGTCAACCTTATTTCCACCTAAAGACTAAAAGATAATGTGTTCATTCGACAACTTGATGCTAAACGGGAACATATGTACTCCTAAGAGATTTCAAACTAAAGTGCTTCTTGGTCTTCATTGAATTTTTAAGTGGTTCCACAGCTGATATATACATATATATGCATGCCAAAATGGACGGAAAACTATAGAAATGTCTTGTGCCTCTGTTAGCTGATATCTATGAAAAAACAGTTACAAGACATCTTAAAAAATCAATTCTGACATCCATTTACAGGATATCGTGCATCTAATGAACGTAAATTGGCGGGTCACAAAGAATATTTCCAACAGCCTGTTGCAGACCTTTATCAACAACTGTCTTCTTCGCTCTATACTCAAGATCAGATGGCCAGAAAGAACAAGTACCAACAAGAAACTATGGGAACAAACAGAACTAGAACCAATCGCTCAACAAATATGCAGGAGAAAGTGGAGATGGATTAGACACTCGTTGAGGAGGCCGTTGGGTGACATCACGCGTTAGGCCAGTGCTCGAGTGGAACCCGAAAGGAAAGCGGTGAGTGAGACGTCCAAGGGTGACATGGAGGAGATCGTGTGAAGAGGAGTTGAAACAGTATGGACTAACATGGATGCAGGTGAAAAGTACAGCAGAAGACAGAATCAAGTGGAGACGTGCAGTTGAAGCCCTATGTTCCACTAGGAACCCAAGGGAATAATAATAATGAACGTAACGGAACAAGTGCTTCATTACCTTTCTAGAAGTGACCAATAAATATAAACTCCTGATGGGAGCAGACTCAAAAAAAAATTACAAAAATTCTCAAATATTTCCAGTGATGAAAGGATTTATCATCACAGCATACCTAGTCTAGAGTCATACCTAAAGTCTAGTTGGTTACGAATATGTGTAATTACAACCCAACTTGAAGACAACTGCACACCGAAATACCGACTAAAAACGGTTGTTTTTTGATCGTCAAGTTGACTTATAAAATTCATTCTGCACCAACATCAAAGACTAAACGAATGACACCAGTTGCTTAATACTTAGTGTCCACTCAAAGTATGCATTACAGTCCTGCAGAAGGTCAACTGAAGGTTCGAATAGCTCTGTGGCAACATCTCTGCTTACAGCACTGGCCAATCAGGATGCGAATCTCAGAACGGACATGAGTTTCTTCAAGATTGTAGATATGCCTTTCTGACGAGTGTCAACAAGTAAGAAACGTAGGTCGAGGGTTTCCTGCCGGTCACCTCCAGCCATCTAATGACAGAAGAGTATTGTGTAGACACCTCGCAGTACTGACAATCTGTATATTGATGAATATACTCACGTACACGGTTTTAGCACAGAGTAACAACAATGTACTTATTCATAACGGAAAAAGACCGAAAATGGTATAATCGCTGTGGGTATAAATGAGTTGTTATTATTATTATTTTATTGCTTTACGTTCCCAGTGGAACACAGGGCTTCAAGCTAGAGCTTTGAAGTTTCAGTAACAGTGGTGTTTGGTTTTACGGGATAGGGTTGCTAGCCTCGTGCCGAGCCTTCCCTCTTTACCAGTCTTATTACTGGCTGAGCGAAGTAAAGAAGTGCGGCAGTGGCCGAGGATCGAACCCCGAACCACCGCACGGGCATATATGAGAATATCGAATAAATGTTTAGTGACTGACACTTTTTAGTTCAGAATATCAATGAGCACACAAACTTAGACAAAGGCTTCAATTTGTTCAGGACTCATCACTTACTGTATACAAGAAAAAAATCATCGCATTCCAGATGATGACTTAGTTTCTCACTCTAGGTTTAAACAGGTCAGAATAAGTCTATTCAATAGTGCCTTCGAAATAAGAATGATAAAAATGCCCTAATTAGGTTGGCATAAGGAATTCAGTGGGGAAAAGAGACGTGATATCCAAATAACAGACAGCATTATATATATATATATATATATATGGACAGAAGTGTAGCGACAGTGTTGTCAGGATAATGGCATCACTCCTGAGTACTTTCCTTATCTTTAAATATAGCTAGTCAAAACAATTTCTTGCCAAATTCACATATGACAGCACTTCCAGTGTCTAGGTTCAAGAAGCAAGCCTACAATGTAGGAATATCCTATGGAAGGTTAACTTGATGTGTATGTGTATTTCACCTCCTTTAGTGAGTCTTTTAATAAAATCTTTTACAGAACCTTTTTCTGGTCTGCATGATAATTATATTGGCCATTGCTGTAGGAACTTGATTTTTTGTGCTCCAGTATGGCTAAGTAAAGGTGTTGTGAAAACCATGGCCACCTGGTCCAAAACGGCCACAAAGACAGCACTAAAAAATCCTTCTCTATCACCTAACAGGTACCAAATAAATTGCCAAGAACTTCGAGGTACCACATGCTCCAAACAGCAGTGGCTATCGCTATTTGCGTGAAACAACCAGTGCTTTGTATGCAAAAGAAGCAAGTTCAACCACTACTAGTGACCTGGCCAGCCTTCAGTGGAGACTATAAATTCACGAAATTGTATTATTATCTTTCTTAATTTTTCTGACATTCAGCTTATTTTATGTTGATGCTATTGAACTGTAATCTATTGATATTATTGTTGATTCGATGTTATTTAAGCAACATTGATGTTGTTCATAACACCAATTTATTCATTCACTATTATGGATGCATATAACTGTAGAACCTTATGATTAGGTTATCGAAAAGAATATTCTTTGTTCAGTTACCATTGTTTTGAAAAATTTTAATGCGTATTTTTAATCAATTTTAGAAATCCTAAATTTCAAATAAGAAGCGTCGAATGAGAACAGAAATTGAAGCACTGTGGTGGTGCGTAATGCTACAATTAAAGTCTTCTTTTTGTTATGGTACTGAGTGACACAGTACTGTTATTAGCGTTATTCACCTACAGGAAGTATTTCGTTATTCTGTAGCAGATTGTGCTGCCTATGGAACTATACAGTAAATAATTTTAACCTGTTGGTTTGATCACATCAATTCCCAGACTATATTATTCATTCATTATTTCAGCTGATCGTCTTATCACAAATTTTGTTTTTCACTTTTTCAATCATTTGCATTCCGAGTGAAACATACGCCTATAAACTTTGAATATTCATTGGTGGTGGTGGCGGTGTCGCTGACCCCTCCCCCCTGTCCTTCTTGCTCACCATCAGCCAGTACACTAGACAAGGTTTACAGCAGTGCTTTCGCCTGGAACCGAACCCGGGTTACATGTGTGGTTGGTGAGCATCCCACCGCTGAATCGCCGATACAAAAAAGGCCGGGCAGTTATCCACCTCAACGTTGCCTAACTTCGTTGATCGGTTGTATGGTCACCGGGAAAGTTTTCATATACTTAGTAAGATTCTATACGATCAGTGATTTCCTGAAGCCTATTACTCAGATAATACTGAGAATATTAATTTGATCAATTATTCAGCACCCATGCCCTTCTTATCCCATCAAACTCGAGAATGCGGTGTGAGTATTTTATTTTAAAAACTTAGCCTTATTCAATAGACAGATGCAGGCTCGTGAGGCTTTGTGTGTCGGTGACACAGTGGTTAGGACTCTCGCCGACCATGCACATGGTCCAGGGTTCGATCCCCTGCCGACGCACACTCGATATCTATGGTCGGCCTGCAAAATTTGGGCTACCGATTTCACATGCTGAAAATTCCATATATGTACCAAAAAAATACGATGTGGAATCAAGCTGTAACCAAAAAAGAAAGAAAGAAAAATATTTGTGTAAAAGTTAAAAATACTTTCTATTTCTCTGTACCTTTCAAAGAGGATAGAGCACTCTCTCACTCGATATACTTCTATGACCTAATAAGATCAACAGTAAATTGATAATTATATATATATGAGAGAAGGTTATCGAAGAATTTAGTTGATCTGTGTCATGAACAGCTATCACGCACTTAAGTGAAAAGTGAGTAGCTATGGCTTAGCAAGAATATGTAGCCTAACTGAAGCCTAACGTTTAAATTTCACGTAATCTGATCAATGCAACTGACTAAACATGCATATATATATGTGCGTGCATAGGTCATCCGAATGGAAGTGGTTATAACAGGTAGAAGATATCGATAATCATGTGAATAGTATTAAAAATTTATTACTGTTATATGATTCTTCGACAATGAGTAATTGTTAATTGGAATCTAATTTAATCTAATCTTTTCTGCTTCTTCTTCAAATATCAAGAACTTACCGATTGATAATTGTGTACAATGTCCGAAAATTGCATAGATCAAAGGACCTAGGAATCCGACGTATAAGCCGTAGACAGGCGGTAAACCAGCAAGTAAAGAATACGCCATGCCTAAAGTTAAAGATAGGAAAACTGCTTAACATTTTATCAATATTAATAATAATAATAATAATACTGGAAGCACCGAAATTCCTACCAACCGCTTAACATTTCCAGCAAAACCCCCCTTAATAATGTGTGCCAACTAGCACGAAACCTAGGTCCAAGGCTTTCAGCCGATTGCCTCCAACTATCTAATATCATCAAATCAATGTGCATCATGATGGTCAGCTACCTAGAATGGTGGCCACATTGCAAACCTGACTGACTGATAGAATTCAGTCTGCACTAAAGAAGGGACTAGACACGTCACACTAGTTACTAGTGTCCAATCAAAATACTCACTACAATCCTGTAGGAGGTCAATCACGAGCCCGAATAGCTCAGTGGTAGCGTTTCTGACTGCAATACTCATTGGGTGACGCGGGTTGGAATCTCAGAAGGGACATAATCTGTTCCTTCAATGTTGCAAATACGCCTTGCTAACTGGTGAGTGCCAACTAGCACGAAACCTAGGTCCAAGGCTTCCTGCCGATTGCCTCCAACTATCTAATATCATCAAGTGTGAAACACTGTCCAATGTCCTTTTGTTTCGTATTACAAATATCACTCTGAAAATGTTGAAAATTTTCGAAATATTCTGATACATTTTCGGCGATATTCGTCGGAGAGAATAAGGCCTACACTACGTCACTGGTTAGATTTCTAGCTTCAGTCAACGTCCTACATTCAACAGACGAAAAATTATATACCAGATTTTTCCAGCGGTACACTGTTAAGGCAAAAACATGTCACATTAAGAAAGACAGACTTATTATCTTTATTAGTTCAGCTGCTCAGACAACATCTTTCGTTTACCAGGCTAAGAGTCACACTCATCGAACCTGACACCTACTGGGTTAAGACCCAGGAGCTTGAGGCAATGAGTCGCATCTCAACAGAACGTTAAAATTATGTTCCAAATACAGACCGTTGTATATAGTCATATTGTGATAGTCACACGGTTCCCTAGAATTAGTTTTTAAAATCTGCACACTTCTCATTTCTTTGAAGTTCACTTACACAGCACTCATCGTTGAGATCAACAATCAAAAATATGAATTAAAATTGTGTTGTCATGGTGAAAGACAACAGCTGTAGGAGGGAATGTTTTCACAGGTATATAAGATGAGAAACCATCTGTGTATACCTAGTGCAGTGTTTCTCTGGTTTGTGGATAAGATGTTTATATTCTACAAAAGAAAGGCACTAAAAGTGTATTTCGAATAATGAATAATTTGAAAATAACGTAATCTGAACGGCCTACATAGATGTAGCCTGCAACCACAAACTCAGACAACAGACAGTCGACACTGATGGAAATAGTAAAGTCACAAGAATACTACATACCATTAAAGTATATCATCAGCCCGGCAGACCTATCTATGGATAATACTACAGTCCAAAATCTAAACTGTAAGTTCCGCGTACATGTAGTAAACCATGAAGTTAGATAAGTGTCTAACAGCCTTGAATCATATTCACATATAGCTACATTTACCTAAGTTGAATTCATACTGATACAGTGAGGAATTGTTCACTTCAAAGCTTGGTTTCCCTTCTAGATTGTCAGTGCCTACCCTACTGACCTCTAATGAGCAGGCTTTCAGATTTCAACTAAATAATGTGCTTCAGCCTACTGAAAGTCATTCCATCCCTAGTGAAAACTGTGGAATGTATATAAATTTGGCTATCTAAATGATGATTTCGCGGATGACTTATGTTTGATGTCACACAAAATTGAAGACTTACAAGCGAAAACCGACAAACTGGTCGAGGAAGCAGCAAAGACAGGGCTGCAGGTGAACATAGACAAGACGGAGGTTATCAAAATAACCAACCAACAACAACAACAGCAGCAGCAGTAACATCCAGTGCCAATCAACATCAACGGAAGGGATTTGAAAGAGGTTACTTCATTCACTTATCTAGGGAGCATTGTCTCAACTACAGGAGGAACGGACGAGGATGTCAAATCGAGAATCGGGAAGGCGAGAAACACATTCATCAACCTGAAACCAATCTGGAAATCTTCGTCACTCACTCAGCATCAACAACAAAACGTCAAGTCAGTCAGTTCTTCTATACGGATCAGAAACTTGGCGGGTCACCAAGAATATTTCCAACAGCCTGTTTCAGACCTTTATCAACAGCTGTCTTCGTTCTGTACTCAAGATCAGATGGCCGGAAAGAACCACTAACAAGAAATTATGGGAACAAACAAAACAAGAACTAATTGCTCAACAAATATGTAGGAGAAAGTGGAGATGGATTGGACACTCGCTGAGGAGGAGGCCGCTAACTGGCATTGCGCATCAAGCCAGTGCTCCAGTGGAACCCGAAAGGGAAGCGGCGAGTGGGATGTCCAAGGGTGACATGGAGGAGGTCGTGTGAAGAGGAGTTGAAACATTATGGACTAACATGGATGCAGGTGAAAAGTATATCAGAAGACAGAAGCAAGTGGAGACGTGCATTTGAAGCCCTATGTTCCACTAGGAACCCAAGGGAACAATAATAATAATAAATGATAAATACCAGTGTCGACGTTGTTCGGACTCAGTTACCCAGTTCTGTTATATGTCAAGGATATAAGCTAAATAACTATTCTGCGACCGCTAATGATACTAGCCAATTTTTTTTTATTCCTTTACGTTCCCAGTGGAACATAGGGCTTCAGGCTTGAAGTTAAGGTAGCAGTGGTGTTTGTTTTTACGGGATAGGGTTGCTAGCCACATGCCCAACCTTCCCTCTGTGCCAGTCTTATTACTGGCTTAGCGAGGCAAAGGAGTGCGTCGGTGGCCAGGCATCGAACCCCGGACCACATGTGTAGTAGGCAAGCATTCTACCGATGTGCCACTAATGCTACTACCCAATTGCCTTGGCTGAATTAGGTGGAACAGGATCCGGACACTCGTTAACTGCCCTGAAAGCCAAGTGCTTCATACAAGACGCAGGCAACTTGCTTTATTGACACTATAAACTCCTGAAGTTACAAAGTAGGAATAAAGAAGCTAAGGAAAACGGCACTCTTAGATCGAACACCAAGAAGATGAGGCTATTAATCTGTCAGAAAACGTCTCTGCACAGTCATGTTTATTTGCATATATCAGTGCAACTTCTGATTGCATCGTCCTATGCAGGCAGTACCGTATGCAATGAAACATATTACAAGTCGTTCACAGCTTTGTGTTGGAACACTTTTCGCATTCTGAATGGAACAAAGGACTTCAAACCTTTTTGAATTTTTATCCAAGTGGTGCAGCTAGTCTCACTACAAATCCCCCTGCTTTTCCGCGCTTACTAGCAACTAGTAAACTAGGCGAGGTGTACGAGTGAGAAGACATGGAATCGAACCCGAACCTGCAGTGTGACTAGGGAGCATCTTGCCACGATACTACCAGAGCATAATTTAGCAGAAATCAACAAACAGTTATACACCTATCGATTAGTAGATTTGTTTGCGCACACACATGATAAGCACAAGAGTCTACTTCAGATTATCAAGTAGGGTTTCAGAAGTTATTTTGTTCGCTGATCATCAGTAATGAACAGAAAATCAGACACTTCAACTGTACAAGCAGCTGCTTCCTAATTTTGATAATATTCTCACTGTGATTAGTAATATTTACGCACCTATTGTAATTTGAATAAGTATGCATGAGATGACTACATTTGATGGACTTATATAATGGCTTCTGTGAAATTCACACAACACCTTGAGGAGATTAGTCCAGTTGAACAATATTTCTCTGATGAGTATTACTCTCTTTGGCTTCTACTAATAAAGTGAACATGCAGGCCTACCTAGTGAAGAAGGGAAAAGCTATGATTCCAAACTTATGGTGTACATGAGCCTCAGACCAATTCGGATGGATCTAATGACGTATCAAACAGTTTCTGTCGCTGAAAACCATGTGAACGTAGCTTCTAATACAGCTCCACTGCCTTGTAAATCAGAATCCAGGTGAAAAAGCTGAAGGAGTAACCCCTTAAGACAACTGCCTACTTCGGTCAGTGTCCTAACCCTCGCACAAACTATGAGATTTTGTGTGACGAGTCGCTTGGTGTCCATAATTTATAAGTAGAACGACTATAAGCGACTGGTAACATTAGAGTGAACTTAGCTCACCAGTAAGGCATATAGTCTTTGGTGTGAAACTGCCTATCTGAATATAAACACCGACCAGTCGTTTGTAATTGATTTTATAGACCTTCGTGATCACTTGGAGCCAGGAGAACTTGGACTTAACAACAACTGAATACCAACTTAACAGATTTGTCAAAATCTGAGTACTGATACAATCCATAGTTCGAATTAAGAATAATGGCTTTTACTGAACATTCAAGAGCTTACAGTCTAAAGTGTAATATACTCAAGACTAGTGAATGGTTCCACCTAACTGTATCATTTTCAACTTGATTTATGCTAATAAATGTATCTCCAGTATTCAAATGTTCCAGCTTCGAAATTATCCAAGTATATAGCTAATGTATGATGGTCCTGATACCACCGAAAGAGTTGCTTCCAAATGCTGAGATAAATGTACTCCAACAAAGGCAATTGTATACACTTATTTCCTGCACAACATACAGTTAGCTGTAGACACAGCTGTGAAAGCTGTTAATAAGCTATAACCTAAAGTTAGTAAAAGCCATTGGATCTCTATCGCCTCATCCGAACTGATTGACGAAAGAACACTGATACCAGCGAGCTCCGATTATGATGAGGAGCGAAAGGTACTTAAACAAAAACTAACAAAAAGTCTTCGCAAGGACCGTGAACAGTGGTGGCCGACAAAAGCGAAAGAGATGGAAAAGGCATCGGCGATTGACAACACCAGAAAACTATTCAGGCTTATCAGGGAAACAGGTGGCAAAAGGCAAATGATAAGTGAAACAATCTCTGAGAAAAATGGCACCATAATAAGCTACCAAGATAGACGTCTGGAGCGCTGGAAAGAACACTATGAGGAGCAGTTTAATTGGCCCACAGCCACACTTAACCTGCCGAACATCCAACACCTCCCTGAATGGGAGGTGTTACTAAAGCTGTCACTAATCTGAAGCAAGGCAAAGCAGCGGGACCTGATGGGATGACTCCAGAGGTATTTAAGTACGGTGGAGACAGTTTACTGTCTGCATTAACTGAGGTTCTAGGCAGCGTCTGGGAATCAGAGGAAGTCCCATCGGGTTGGTGTAAGTCACTGATCATCCCGATATACAAGAAGGGAGACAAGTCTTCTTGTGATAATCACAGAGGGATTAGCTTGACTAATATAGTATCTAAAATCCAAGGCTCAATAATACTGTGGTCGGGAGGCACAAACACGAGAAAACCAGGCAGGTTTTAGGCCAGGTAGAAGATGTATTGACCATATCTTCACCCTTCGACAGATTCTAGAACATAGGCATTCCTACCGGCGTACGACAATCATTATATTTCTTGACCTAAAGGCAGCATTCGATTCTGTCGACCGGGAGGTTCTCTGGCGATGCTTGGCTATAAAGGGAATGCCGAGAAAATACATTTCACTGATTAAGGCACTCTATTCGTACTCATGTAGCCAGGTGAAGGCTTACGGCGAGTTGTCATCTGAAGTGGCGACGACTAGTGGCGTCCGTCAAGGATGCCCATTATCCCCATTCCTATTCAACTTCATCGTAGATGTACTAATGGACATAACCCTAACTCACTTCAGAGACTCAGGGATTGACTTGCTACCAGGGAATAATCTCGTCGACTTAGAATATGCAGACGAAATAGTCCTTCTGGGCGAGGACGTTGACAAAATGCAGTTTTCTGAACACCTTGAACTGCAATCTACGAATGTTTGGCATGCGATTCGCTCCCGTCAAATGCAAGATGATGTTACAGGACTGGACTACACTGACTCCTAGATTGGGAATAGGAAGTGAAGTGGTGGAGCACGTTGACCGCTTCACTTACTTGGGAAGTACCATCAGCCAACGCCAGACGGGTTGATATCCGACGAAATCTCAGCACGGATACAGAGGGCTAGTTCCGCATATGCCAGTTTACGCCGTCTCTGTCGTAGACGTGATATCCGACTATCGACCAAAGGGCGGGTGTACTGCTCAGCAGTCTGCTCTGTCCTCCTTTATGGCTGTGAGACCTGGCCATTGAGGTTGGAAGACATGAAAAGATTAGCTGTCTTCGGTCATAGGTGTCTGCGTTCTATCTCCCGCGTGAAGTGGTATAATAAGGTGAGCAATATTGACGTTAGGCGTCGAGTGCTAGGTAAGGAGGCGAAATCAATCGACGAGGCTGCAAATTACTTCGACTGAGATGGTTAGGACATGTGCTACGTATGCCTAGTCATCGCCTTCCTCAACTGACGGGCAATGTTAGCTGACATAGGGTCAGGCTGGAAAAGAGCTAGTGGTGGTCAAACAAAAACATGGCACCAGTCAATGAAATCTACAACAGTTAGTCTAAGCCACGTAGGAAGGTGTAGACTTCCTAGTTGGGGTCTTCGGGAAAGTAAAAACCAATGTCTGGAAACAATTGGTGATATGGCTCAAAATCGTTCTCAATGGCTGGTGCAGATGCATCCACTCCTTGTGACTTATGATTTTCAATGAAACTGTTTTGTTCTTCGTTATTACTATTCCTTTGTCTCACACCTCTGTTTACTGGCTATATATTATGCATTTCTCCTACTTTTTTCTCTTGCTTTGTGTGCTACATGGAAGGAGTGTGGCGACTTGAACTGCCGCACATATGTGCAAAGTTCTATGTCGAAAACAGACAGCATTCCAAATGATCTAGTGACATCAAAACTACATGAAAAATGAACTCCTTCTATTGATAATCATAAGAAAAACGTCAGTGAACAGTGGTTTCTTTTGAATTCTCAACTATCCTTTATCTTGGCTTGCCAAACTGTATTCATGAGTTGTGGTAGTGCAGTATCACAGCCTAATATCTTCTTTGTAAGTCAAAAACGGAAGAACAATCAACACATCAATAAACGGAATTAGTCTTAAAACACCTGACTTCAAAGGTCATGATATTACGCGAATGGTACATAAACATTTCAGTACAGCATTCACCAGGACAGACATATCCGGCAGCAAAACTAGTCTTATTACACCGAACATCCAGCCGTCGAAAATCAACAAGCTACCCCTAATATGTTACATTCAGCTGTGTATATCAGTTCATATGTAATTGTGGGGGCAATAACATAGGGAAAAAGATTGTTTGAACATATACCAAAGAGCCTAGTTCAAACTCGTCAACTACCTAACACCCCACCGACACACGACGCTAATTAGATGCACTATGAGCTTTCCAAATGATAACGAAATACAAAAAACATGCCAAATCTCATCTGAAGTTATCACAACAAAACGACTGACACCTGACCTTTGCATTTAAAAAGAGTACCTCGTTGAACTACAATTACTTTGGTTGGTAACTCTCATCTTAATTAACTCCTTGCCTTGTGATTTCATCACTGTGTCCCCCCTTTTCTAGCTAGACTTCCATTTGGCTTAATTTTGACCCTTCAAATTCCAGTAACTGCATTATATCAACATCTCTCCATTCAACTTTGTACATACCAGGTTTTGATTTCCCCATCTCTTATGAGCTGTAATCATTGTATTCATCTGTTAATTCCGAATCAACGTTTTCTTCCTCTCAGTTCAAACTCATAAAGGGGAATTCCTCTATGAAGTCCTTACAGAACTTGCAAACAGACAAAATCCTAAGCTAACAGACCAAGCAAACTATCTATCCGTATATATATGAGAGTCATTGCAATACAGGTGATGTATAAGACTGACAATATATGTTGAGCTAACCACTTTGCATACAGCGTTTTAGATAGACAATCAAACCAAGTGTGTCAATAATAGGTAGTAGGATGCAACTAAAATGTTTTGTAATTTAAGATGAATGCTAGCTAACATATTTACCATAGTTTAATATATGAATAAATATTAACAATAGCACTAGAAGTTTTCACTGTTTTGTAGTTTCTATGATAATGAACAAACAGTGTGCAGATATGCGCATCATAAGCAACACTATCTACTGGTTTCGAATGCAGACGCTTGAAACAAACAGCTGGAATAGGCATAAAGACGATAGTAACATACACTAGATACTAAAAAGCAAAGCTCGATGAGTTGTTAAATATGTAGCCTAACTTCCTTAGAACATCATTTTTCTTGGAGTGGGATTCAAATTTCGACGATTCGAACACTACACAAACTGAACATATATAAGAGCAAACAGGATTCAATTCTTTTTCTGACCAGTGAGTACAAGTTATAAAAACAGAATATGAATAAATAGTAATCATACAAATAATAGATGACACTTGCCTTGTGGGATATTCAGAATACCTATGGTTAAACCACCAGAAACATCCTTTAAAAAATCTGATCGCCAGTTATAATTCAGCAGTGTATTAATACACGGAAAGACAGTCAATAGACAGTATAACGAGTACGATTTGTATTGTTGTCGGCTACAACAAAACAATGACTTGAAACAATTTCTCCGTCTGTTTTTAGTACTTCTGCCATCACCATCCGCATCACCATCACCACCACCGTTATCATTCTTAGACATTAAAGAATCCCAATCTGCAATCGGTCGATTAAATGTAATACGTCCGAGGTGAGCATTTGTGACAAATTTACTCTCAGATATATTATCCTGATTCTCATCAATTGGTGCAGCGAATCTCGGCCTAGGATAAACATCCACTTCACCATCAACTGTGAAGTAATTTGACATCTGTATATATATATATATATATATATATATGTATATATTTTTTTTCAACTAGTCGACTACTATAATGTGTGCTATCATACTTAAAAACTATCTTTTTATAATAATTGACTAATTTTGCAATAAAAGTGGACGAACACATAACCTGAATCATGATTCGCGAGTAACTAAATAATCCAATCATAAATGCTGTGTGCACAAACACGTACGCGCGCACGCACACACACACACAAATAAACGAACGAAACACTTCACACTACAAGTTCATTATACGCACTTGTTGAACACTTCTAAAAGATTACATAAATAATACATGAGCAATGTGCGATAAAAAATTCAATACTTAGTTAGAAAAAAAAGGAAACACACAAAACCGAAGCACAAAATATTTTAGGCAAAATAGATTTTTTTTGGTGGAGAAAGAGAGAATGATACACAGGAAAAGTTTGAATTTGCCAACAACAAGAGAGAGAGAGAGAGAAAATGGAGTCAATTTACATGGGTGTGTGTGTGTGTGTCTAAAGAACGATAACCAATTTCCGTTCACTCTTTCTTTCTTTCTTTTGTTTGTTTGTTTATATCCTCTCTAGAAGAAAAATCATCAACACTGTGTAATCATCGTTATCATCAGTATAATCAACATCATCGTCGAGACCGTTAACTACTATGTATATATGTATATGAATATTCACAAAAACTGGATTTATTTTCATTCATCTGTTGTTAATACAGGAATATGTATATGTATATGTATCTTTATATAAATATAAATATTTGAATGTGTATATATTCAACCACTGATATCACTGGACTAATTAATACACAACAGAAAAAGGATAACAGTGGGGCTTGTGCAGGTAAAACACACACACATCGTTTATACATATAAATCGGTTAAAGTTGTCGCTTATTTTTATTTTATTTTTATTTATTTATTATTTTTTTATGAAACACTGAAAAAGTAAATAAAAATGTTTATATAATATAATTAATAGCTACAACTTTAAAGCATCTGAAAGTAGAAAAGAAACATCTCTTTCACTGATTCGATTTGAGGACATTGGAGTAGTAGTAGTAGTATTGGATAAACTGATATCTGTGACAGGTGAATTCCAATTGCCCAGGACTTTGAAAACATTTTCATTCTCTGTCATACCGTCAAGACTGGAGCATGGTATTGAACCAGTGGACTTTGACTTCCTGTTTCGGGGACCGCCAGCACCAACACCAACACGAGTAGTCTCGTCCTCATCATCAATTTGATCAACATTCTCAGACGACTCGCAACCAGTTACATTTCGCTCCATTTGTAATTTCTCCGATGCCCGGCGCAGTATACCCTCTTCAATAGTGCCTTCGGCGACTAGCCGTATGACATGAACAGGACTGAAAACAAAAAGCACAATTGCTTGTTAGGACATAAGTTCTTCCTAATAAAGAAAATTTAACAACATTTCAATCAGCTGAACTACATTTTTCAATAAGAGAAAAAGATATAAAATGCTAAGATATGTTAACTACTGATTGATAATTTTAATGCGCAGTTTAAAATTGTAAAATGCATATACACAAACTAAAAGTAGCATTCCATAAATTAGCTATTCCTGCATAAAACTACACATACGAAATATACATACTGGCGATTTACTGACATGTTCATGATCTCTTCACAACATGACTCCATATTACAGACAATCCAATCATTCGGTGATCAAGTTCAAACAATACCTTAAAACCTTCTTCTGGACTAGAGTGTGTGACTGACAGACTGACTATGTGTCATACACGAAGGAGAACCATTATTTTCTCCCAAAATATTGACATCATCTATAGAAAAATAATTAAATCACTATATTCCTAAAATTAAACTTAATATACTAATTTTTCAAAACCACAGAATACAAAGAAGTAGCAATAGGTGGTAAAAACTAAGGTAACAGAACAGTAAAGCACACAATAACTTACTTTTTCTGGCCTAGCCGATGACAACGATCCTCAGCTTGTCTATCGTTATATGGATTGAAGTCAATATCGTGGATAATTACAGTATCTGCACCTGTCAAATTGATGCCTAGTCCACCGGCACGTGTAGATAGCAGAAAAACTTCAATGGATGAGCTGAAAAGTAAAAGTAGTCATAATAAAGGTCGCATATGTCAGTGGCCTAACAAATAAATAAATAAATAAGGTACGACCTTCGAATAATTACGAAACCTCTCTTATAGGATGCGTTTTGACTGACATGCTAAATGCAGTGAGTCATCGGTTCAGAGGTAAAATACCCACACCAGTCACGCAAATGGTCCCAACGCACTCCTACACTTCGCCTAACCAGAAAAAGATCGAACCTTGAAGGCCTGTGTTCCACTGCGAATGCAAAGAAATTTTAGAAAAGATAACACGATACGCTGACCATCAATGTTTCGTTCCAACCTCACATAAATTGAAAATTATAGTGGTACTATGAACAATTCAATCATTTCATTAGATCTTATCCACAGGACACCTCCAGATGTGAGAAACTTGTCAAAGAAGGAATGAAACATGGAAAGGCCAACGTTAGATTACGGATGTATGCTACTCCACCAACAAATAAAACATTAAAAAAAATCCATGGATATTTACTCACAGCAAAAAGCCTACATTACTGAGTACTTTTTAAATCTCTTCTTCCGTAAATACAGTAAAATTTGAAAACATTTTCCTATACTGATACATGAATAACTGATGAAATACAAGAGTAAACTAATAAATGAGGACAGATTAGAAAGTAAAGCAAAGACCTTACCTATTAAAACGATCGATTAGGGTTTGTCTTTCAGCGACAGGGGTTGCTCCATCCAATCGTATATAACGTCTGTTTGTTGTTCTCAAAAACTCTTCTAATATATCCAGCATAATAACAAATTGGCTAAATATTAAAATACGATGTCCTTCAGAGATCAATTTAGGCAGGTTATTATTCAACCATTCGATCTTTCCAGATCCAGAAATTATTGACTCTGTAGGCAGAGCATAAGGAGATAATACCTGGAGCAAAAAATATGTTTTGTGTTATATAACATGGAAATAAACAACTATCGGATATTGATGATAGGGCCAGAAGTGAAGACACCTAGATTAATTAATAACAAAAGAAGAGAAACAGTTCACTACGCTACTTAATTCTTATTAAGTAGCAGTAGATAAGGTTGCACAAATTTCATCCCGACACGATATTTCGTAGACGTGTGTATTCAAGTAACTTTAAGGCAACCGCAGAATTTCTGAATCTCTCCGAGAACGTGGATGAACAACGAATGATTCACTGGTTAAACAACTAATCAAGGCATTATTAGCAAAACTGTGCTCTGTATTTACTAGTGATATGAAAAGTGTTTACAACTTTCGTTGTCTATGTACTCTTGAAGATCCTTACATATATCAAACTTTAAGAACAGTGAAAAGATTCATCACACGGATAGAGATCACATATATGCCCTGAACTGAATATATGTCGTGTAACAAGATGGAAACGCAACTTTGACACTGAAATGTGAAATTAGTGTCAATACATAAGACACACAAAATGTAGTAAGTACCAAAACTTTTACCACTTTTGAAATTCTGAAAAAGTAAATTGGTGGATGGTGACTAGCAGTGGAATCCAGGATGTGCGTTTCGTCCTACTTGGGACTCGTCTTCTGGATGTGCCTCCACTCCCCAGTGAGTGATGGTGTCCCCACTGAGGCCCGAACTAAGTACTACTACAGGTGCACCCCAGACTCTACTGCTAGTCATCGGTCACCAATTCATTTCAAGTTAAATAATCAGACACCGTCGAAGCATCTGCATAAAGAGCCGATATGTCAACCTAAGGCCAAACACTTCGGTTCAGTCGATCAACGGGAAAGTTCAAAGTGAGTTAAACACAATCAGAAAGTATTTACTTGTATATACATCAAACATACTACTGAAATTGTAATACTACTACTGCAACCTGTAGGTGTATAAGTGTATAAGTAATTGCAGAGACTATGCTTGTAATGAAGTTGGCGAAGAAATGTATCCGAAAAATTATCAGAAACTGGCGTTCATTCAGTACGGAGTAGTGAAGAAATAGGAGAAATAAAATAGATAAGTAATGATGGAGATGGTGTTAACCTAATGGTACTGAGTGGTATTGATTTTAAAAAAAATAAGACACAACAATTCGACTTTCGCAAAAAAATCAACCAGATATGGCACAAATATTAAGGTAGACAGTAGTCAAAATGTGCTTCCTTAGGAATCGACTCACTTTTATGCAGACAGCGATCAACGATGATATAAAGAGTATCATAATTTAACAAAGTAAATAAATAAAGTGGGGATTAACAATATATTTTCAAATATACCTCATAAAATTGGCAGAGTTTGTGAACTTGATGATCGCTCATTGTCAAAAGGTCTTCATATATGAGATTAGGATCAGCATTGGAGAAACTTGGATCTAGATGTAAAGACTCAGCAATATCCCGTAAATTTGAGTCAGTGTATGCTAATCCGGAGAAAAGAGTTAAGTGATTTGCTGCCTTGCGTAATACCATAACCATATTACATGGGGACTGAGGGGATTCTGAAGCTGCTTTGGAGGGAACTGGGAATGATTTTGTGCCATTCACTAAAACAATAAAAGTATACAAAATGAGGTGAAAGTAATCTGATGCCATCAAGCACACAAAACAAACTATAATCGTTTTGGAACTCAAAACATACACTGATGTGATGCAAAAAATAAGCTATGTAATTACAATTAGGAAACATGAACACAACCAGAAATGCAATCGTAGCTTGGATTCATGAGACCAAGTATGATTCGAAATGCTTGACAGCACATGTCAACCATGACTTTATTATCCACAGAAGTATACTGATGAATTATGTACAAACTTCTATTACTTACTGAAACAATATCCAAGTAATCTGGTGAGGCATAACAAATTGATTACCTGATATGCACATAAACTGCTTCCCCATGGATATTCAGAGGTACGGCTAAATTGGATTTTACACTTAACTTCCAAAGCCAGTGAGCTGAACGACTAGGCAGAATAGTCAGTCTCGTCACACGATAAGTGTGGACTATAGTTAGGCACATGGGGATATTATTCCGGGAAAATGGGTTTTACACCCCTAACTTATATGATGGACTTTCTTTCCTAAAGATATACATAGCAGGAATTTCCACATTACTGAGAATACTTCATTCAGTCCAATGAAACTGGAGGAAGAATTTCAAATAAAAAACGCAAGAAGGGGAGGGGTGTTAAATTTATCTATATTTTTACACACATTATCTATTTATTTACCAAGTACGTGGTTTCGTTATGTTACCTGGTGAGACTAAACTCTGTTGTGATGGAGTGAAGGGGTTCGAACCCTGGACCTTTCGGTTGCAAAGCCAACGTATAGACCATTCAGCCACTGAGACCTGATCAAATGGCCCGTGAAATCCCAATTCTGCTGATTCGCCATGTGTAGAGCAACCGCCAGCCAATGTCATCGGCGAGTAACTGCCAACTTACTTAACTCGATGCATCTTTGCAGATCAAGACTTCACCCTAGAACTCCAGATAAAGGTATTCTGCACGGTTAATCAACCCATCCTACATGAAAGGGAACTTAAGTAACTATTGAAAGTTAAAAGGTGTAACATTTTAGGAAGGAAACAACGAAAAAAAATTGGTTGGGTCTCACAAAATTACGTACCCAGTCAATCAATGTTTCAGCGTATATCTTCACTCTTACTACTTGTAAGTAATTTACTGAAGTTATATAAAATTTAAACCTGGACAATTTTTGTTATATGGCAACAAGATATAAGAGTTACAGGTGGCAGCATTACAAACCAGACGGTAAGTAAAGAAGTGAAAACTCTTGTCAGTTTACGTGAACGGAAAAATAATCCTTGTTCTATTACAATTTGATTATGAATCAATATCAGTTAGAGAGATCATTGAAAACCAGGCAGCAATGGACATCCACTTCGTCTTAGTACGCGATCCTCCAGCACTGAGCATCTACAACTCAACCAGGGAATGAACCCAGAACCTTGATGTTACGAGACCGAGCTAGCCGACTATTCACAGTCGCCTTTGACCGGAATTTAATGAACTCAATGAACTTCGACAATGCGTGATGCACCGCTACGTTTAAATCAATGCCTTCGTTGAGCACCCACTTCACCAATTTACATCACAACTTCAGCACTGATGAAGAGTCGCAAACCAGGACGAAACACATGCGGATGTGTGTGCGTAGTATTCAATGATCACTAAGTGATATTAGTTCGTGATGAAATCAAACAATTTGTGCTTTCTAGTTCAAATGAATACAATACACTGAGACAAAACAAAAGGCTGAAATTCACCTGTAGTAGTAGTAGTAGTTGTTGTTGTTGTTGTTGTGGGTGAATGATTATCGAAACGAGGTTTTTTCTTCAAAGTATGATCACTAACATCTGGATTAGCATTTTCATCACCATCTTCACATGCATTTTTCAATAGTAGGGATGTATCTTGACCATTGCTTGTATCTTTAGCAGAAATTCGCTGAGAACGGAATCGTTTAACCAGATCATAGTAATGATTCGTTTGGGATTTTGTCATAGGCACTAAAACCACTTCAGTGGTCTTCGGAGGAAGTTGACTAAGAACCTAGGAAGCAGGAAAATGTGAAACAAGGGAAACACTGAAAGTACTAATAAACATTCACGCATAAAACTTAGACCAAAAGGCAGTAATTACAATATTATTATTATTATAATAATGCGGAGCAAGCGGTTTTGTATCACGATGGAACACGAAGCAATGGGAAAGCTTATCATACAATAGAGTTTCTGACAATTGGTCAATATCCTTATTTTAAATAACGCCTCCTACCACCTAAGGGATCATGAAAGATCAAGCAGAAAACTACTAGGACAATAAATTCAGAACTCCACATGTAGCTGTAAAAACAAAATAAGCAATCCATGATGAACTAACTGTAAGGTGATCATCAGTAAGCATTTATAGACAAAAAAACACATTGAAACTACACTAACCTGTGACTTCAATCGTCGTAAACAAAACGGCTGAAGTAGATTTTTCGCTTGAATTAGACGCTCTTGTTCAAAAGTGCTTCGCACAACAACACTACTATTATCAGCTGCTTGTTCATTATCCCGAGAATTCATAGGCTTCTATAAAGAAAAAATTACAATTACAATGGAAAAGGAGAAAAAGCAATTCAGTAGAAATGAATAAATATTTTTCATAATAAAGAGGTAGCATATTTGATATAAAACTATATGCATTCCTTATCTTCAAGAATGATAAGAATATGCGCCAGTGTGAGTGATACAATGGATGATGAATTTGAAGCAGAAACCTGGAAGAATATAAAAACGGTGCCTAAGAAATTGCTATTCATTAGCGCTGAATTTGAGGCTGAAATTCTGAAAGAAAAAAAAACAGTTTATCCAGATTGCTTGAGAAAAACTTTCTTATCTGTGTCTGGTGAACTCAGGCTATGCACCTCCACTTAAGTATTTTTTTCAAAGATTATCTAAAAGGGGTGTTAGGTCTCGGTATTTGTGCATGACGAAAGCACTGGTGATTCATCAAAATAACTCCGAACTCCGTGTTCAGTCTCGTATTATAACATGGTCCTCCTAATCTCTTTCTTAATCGCTCACTTATATTCTCAAATATTTAAGAGGAGGGGGTCTCTACGCGCGGACCGGACTGTCACATGGCCACCATTCACAGGCGCTATCCCGCTACCGCACCACGCGGGGACTTTTGCCTGCTGGGTTTCCCCCCCCCCTGGACCGGTGCGCCCCTCCTTGGTCGACCTGGACAACCCGTCCTCCGACAGGTCATCCATATCGGCGCCGTGCTAAGCGTGGACGCCCGATCAACATGAGCACCCATATGCCAGAACTCCCGGTCCCGCGAAATTCCGCACCCTGGACTCCAAGTAGCTAGATTACAGGCGTACGCCACCACGCCCAGCTGTACTGATGCAAGCCGCCGTCTGAAGCACTAAACACTAAACAATATAAGACATGATGAGTTTTTCACGTGCTATTTCACTACTTCTTTCTTTGTATCACACATTCGAACTGAAAAACGGTTAAACAACACTACTACCAAGTTAACCCCTAACAGAAATCATACTACATTTTAGGTTTGCAGACAATCCTTTTCAGCACCGCATTTCACTACAGATGAGTGCTATATATATAGGGAGATCTATATACGTTATACCGTGATGAAAAAAAACGTACCGAATAAATCTGGAAAATCCGTTTCAGTAAATCTGTGCTTTTGAGAAACATCTCCGGCATAACAAATGACAGTAGAGATACAAGTTCCATTAGATTGTTTTGAAGTGGTGTCCCGGTAAGAAGTAGACGCCGTTGGACATTGAAATTCATTAAATTTCGATAACGTTGGGATGTCATGTTCTTTAGCATGTGTGCTTCATCAAAGATACCATAATAGAAATTGACTCGTTTCATTAAGGCTCTGTCTTCGATAGCACTAGTCCCGACAGCATAGCTAAAAGATAGAGTATTCATCAAATCCTAGGTAGAAATAACGACATCTTCTATTTACAATGAAACATGTGAAACCTGCTGGTTACAACAAAAAAAGCATTTCATTGTTTCACGTCATGTAGCATCCCAGCAGACACTTCATTTAGAGTTAAGCTGTTGTTCGAAAGGATTGCGCTGACATCTTTTTCATGCAACCGAAGCTTTGGCAGTCTATAAGGAAAAGGCTGAACTGAACATTGAGTTCAGAAACGTTTTATTCGGTCGCTTTTGTTACCGCGATCTTAGTGAATCTCATTTTCGTGGGGGGTTTTTTTACACAGTAAACTCTGTATAGTCGTTCTATTTATTTTACTAATTTTGTAACCCATTTTCAATTCTTTGTTCTTATTTTGTTTCCTAGTAATCACCGCTTATATAATCAATTGCAAACTTTCTCGATTATTATTCACTATTTTTCACGCTTTGTTATTTTTCGAACATTGGATTTATTTTCTTAACCTTTGACCCCTGTTGTCAGTTAACACTGAACATAAAAATCTCCAAATAACTTTAGAGATCTGATGAGAAAATACGATCTTTTTGCTGACCTATATGCTGCTTTGAATTCATATGACACGGGAAATTTTCATAGCTTGAAGAGTTTTAATCACCCAAAGAGTCTAAATGATGACAAAGAAAAAAGTGTTGTAAAATGCACACGAACTCAGGTGTGGATGAAACAAGTGCTTACCTAGTTAGCAAAACATTGAAATCAGGTTGGGCTTCAGACTCATAGATTTTTAAACGAATAGCTTTCCGCTGCTCTGCAGATCCTTGATAGACAAGTACTTTTAAATGAGGACACCAAAGACTCAATTCTCGTTGCCAGTTATCCTGTGTGGAACTCGGACAAATGATGAGATGGGGACCACGATTTCCATTCTCCCACAGACTGGCTAGAAAAGCGATAGCTTGGACAGTTTTCCCCAAACCCATCTCATCTGCTAGTATTCCATTGACTTGTTCATGGTGCAATAGACGGAGCCAGTTGAGACCGACAAGTTGATACGGTTTTAATTCACGCCTATAATATATGAGGAATGGAGATTATAGAAATTGAATTAAAGAAAGCATATTTATGTGACTCTGGTAATATAGCAGGCTGGTTTGCAACTTACCCCCTAACGGAGTAAAATATTCGGATGAATTGACTTATTCATAATGGATTGATTAACAAGAAAATATCAGCACGGATACAAAAGTCTTGTTTGGCATTTGCCGACCTGCGTCATCATTGGTGCCAGTGTGATATTCAATAAATCATAAAAAACGTGTTTACTGTACAAAAACCCTCTCCATCCTGTGAGTCATGGCTGTTGAGGATAGAAGATATGAAAAGACTAGTGGTTTTTGACCATGTATCTCCGTCTAATATGACATGATAGGTAAATATCCATGTGCGGAGTAACAATGCCGTCCGTCATGAGGGACAAACCAATCAATGAGGTTGTGAAGTTCCATAAACTAAGATGGCTGTGACATACGGTACACATGTGGAACTAGTACCTTCCTCATAAAGCGATGTTAGATGACATAGGATTAGGTGGGAAAACAGGGACAGTGAAGTAAAAAAAAATAAATGGCATCAATCAATGAAGTCTTTGACCGTTATTTTGAGATCAGGAAATATGAAATCTCTGGCAAATAAACATCAAATTACTTACAAAGGATTAAGAATAGCGGGCTGCTGAGTCAAAAATTGTATAGGGCCTCCATTCACTTTGTTTACAACAAAATCATCCCTTTCATGACTAATTCCATCGGATTGGTTCTGATCTGTAGTAGCACTTTCAGGCAAGCTGATAGTATTTTCAAGCAAACGTGCTGCATGCGCGGCAACTTGTTCAGTTAGACGTTCACATCTATTCAGTAGCTGGATAACCGAGGAACGGACGACTAAAATATCCTTACAGCTTTCATACAGGTTGGAAGAAAGATGACGAACTCCTGATAATTGGGTAACCACATCTTTGGTACTTTTAAACGGACGCATATTGATAATTGCTTGTGCAGTTTTTCGTGAACAACCTGGCATTAGGGTAAGTTCTTCCATTACAGCGTCATTGAAAAAGGAAAGGAGATGACGGCGCTCTTCATTGGTAAGGTCAAGACCCTGAGGAGACCAGAGAGAGAGAAAATAGCTGTAGTAGAAATTCATATGTCCAATTAATGAGTTACGTAACCACAACATAAAACAAAGAAAATCCTAAATACTTATGACAAAACTTCTACTCAAAAAAGCGCTAGAACACAGAATGAGGAGATGGATAACAAATATTCTTGCTCCCCCGCCCACACTTAGCAATCTGATAAAATGTCACTAGTTTACAGTGAAGTTGGATGATTATTCAACAAAGGTTTCGGTTCATGAACTAAGGTGTTTACAAATGTAGTATAACAGGCATTCTAACCAGCTATAGACAACTAGGTCTTTTAGGTCGAAGAACGTCATAGTCACCTGACGTTTACCTGCAGTCCATAAAACTAGATGTGCATCATACAGTAACATCCGATTCTAGGCGGTTTAATATTCTTGAGCTAAACGTGATAGTTTTCAGTATAGAGCACACATATATTCACATGTTCACTGTCCACACCAACACAATGCCTGATGAAATAGGATTGGCTTAAAGTGGGCACTATGCACTGTCACAGTCATGGATTGGGCGAGTAACTGTCCGTATCTCTACCCACAATCAGCTCAATCCATGAAATCATTAACAAATCAGTACAGACTAGGGTAGTTAAAGTGTTAAAAACAGCGGTTAGAGACTTCATGATATGTTTCAAAATTCATTACCATTGCCCAGATTATTTTACCCTAAGCGTCAGTTGTTGCCCGGAAAAGATTTCTCATTTGCTACGAGCCCCCCGCCCCAACCCGATTATTGACGGAGAGTTTATGCAACTGTTCAGTTCCCCGAGCTGAAGTAGACGGAACGGAATTTGAGCCCTAGACCCACTGGTTGTAAGTCAAGTATTAGAGCCGATGATGACGTGTACACATCTCCCCGCCATATCGATCTCTCAAAATAAGAAATTCTAAAACACAGCATCACCTCTGAGGGGAAACATAATTTAAAGAAATACTTTCTTCAGTCAAAACTTTGAGGGTGTGCCGAACATCTGATGAAGATAAAAGCTGAACGAGTAACACATAAACAACCGAAACTTCCTTGTTTAGTGAATACAATGAAATGAAACGCACTGATTCAGGTAAAAAAAAATAAGCGTAACTTACATCATCTTCTGTAACTGGCTCAACAGCGGGTGGAATAGCCGTTTCCTTGCTAGTATTCTCAGCTTCTGTAGACATTTTCTGTCGGACAGATTTCCCACGACGATCAGGTCGTTTGCGAGTTACTAAAGGGCAGAAAATTAAAAATCTTTACGAAGATGACACAATGAACTAACATTTTTTCTCGTCTGAAATCCCCTATGTAGTACATACCACACACTCCTCGAGCGTTCGCAACTAAGTATGACAATACAACTAACACCTATCTCAAAGTCCAAATAAAAGTGTATATACCATCACAGCTATTTTGGGAGATCGAAATGGAAATAAACGTTATACAACGAGCAAGGGATCTATGAATGGTTAACAAAAGAGATGGAATCTTGTGGCCGACAACACTTGTAATAATATTCTAAAGCTGGAAAGAGAAGCAAGACACTACACAAACAGTAATCTCTTGATCTTTGAACTCCATAGGTTTCCTTTCAGTCCTCTGAGCTCCGAGTGAACTTTCAGTAGCACTGGTGCATTTTTGTTTTGTTTTACCGGATGGGGTTTTCTAGTCTTACGCCCAACTATCCCCTCCTCTGTACCAGGCCGGGGATTTGAACATTGAACGATGTTCATGGTTGGCGAACATTTTTCCCCTGAACCACCTACGCTAAATTTAACTTTTTCTGAATTTAAATAAGTTTACATTATTCACGTGAAATCCAGGTCTGCTATTCTTTTTATTCTTTCCATTGTGATAATAAAAAGGCTTGTGACACTGGATACAGGTTAGATGGATTGCATATTTGAGACAGTAGTTAGCTTTATCTCATTGCCACATCAGAATTTGAGACAATAAATATTAAAAGTGATGCATAGAAATAATAGTGTATAGGATAAAATGTAGTATGAAAAAATAACTATGTCTATACAAATTACGAAATGAACAAATCACAACAAAGAAAGTCAAATCAATTTTAATTCCAGGCATTGTTAGAGAATGAGATTTTGTATAGCGCTAATATCTCTCTAACAAACGAATGATGCTTTAAGAGTAAACGTCATTTATGAATACTTAGTTCCGATAGGAGTTATGTTAATACTTATAACTATAACACATTGACTATTTTCACTTCACAATCAACGCACTCTTGAAAACCTCTCACCAAGCTTACTAGTCATTTGTAAGTTGGGGGAAGATGGGAGGTTGGACGTGAGGCTAGCAATTTCATCCCATAAAAAAGTGGCTCTATTGCATATCCCCGGTAACTGTAGTGCCGTAGTACCTTGCTATGGTGGTCTATTGACAAGTTACACTTTTTGTATGTTTTTTAAGTGAAATTTTGCATTAAGAAACTTTTTCTGGGATACATGTTGTCGGCAGCTTTATGTTCTTGAACTGCATTTTTATCAAAAAAAAGCTTGCTTGATACTGATATCTGCGCAGTATACTGAATTAAAGGAGGCAGTAAGTTCAAAGGTTTAACGTATATTATATTGAATTTTCATGAAATTATGCCGGTATATTTTGGCCTATTTATTGAAACACCCAACTGGATAAAGCAAGTAGCGCCACTTCAAATAAGGGATGTGCTATATAATCGTCCCCCGGAGAAACAAGACCGTGGTTACTGAAACTTTAAGGCCTCAAGCTTGGAGCCCCACGTTCCGCTCAAAACGCAAGGGAATGATGAAATAAATATAAAATAAATAAACCAGTGTCACTTCTTAATGCTGACATATATATATATATATAGCCTACTAAGGCACTGCAAGTTAATATGCACACAGAGAAAATCCTGACTCAAAGCAATATGCACAAACTGATAACAACATACCTGAATTACTTACAACACCAACTTTAGCCATATACTTTCCAGCATCGCCTGACTTCCGACTAGAATCATCACTATCCATGTCAGATTTAGCTGCTGCAGTTGCTGTTGTGTTAGTTCGACTAACAGGTGTGCTAACTGTAGCTGTTCGCATCTCTCTATTAATATAACCACGTTTCTTCTTTTGTGCTTCACCGACATGATCTGTACGAAAGAATTTATTACCCTGTTGTGGAGTTGTTGTTGTCTCTTCAGAATTTTGTCCTTGAACGCTATTATCATCATTATTGTTGGTATTATTATTATTATTGTTAGTAGTAGTAGTAGTGGTAGTAGTAGTAGTATCCTGCTGATGAAAGAAATTTAAACAATTGGAAGCATCCCACTGTTAAATTTACTCAATAAATTATATTATACATTTATGCGTCGTTTTTCATGATTCAACAGCCACATACACACACACACAAACACATAGAAACGATGTTGCAGCTTATGCCAACTAAATGAGTTTGTGAAATAAAAAGATAAAAAGCAAACTTTCTTTTATCGAGAAATCACCAGAGAGAACGAAACATTCAACAAACAGGAACTGGAAACACAACTAGAACTGTAACAGAACTACGACTCACCTGGTCCTAAAGTCAGAAGTAACCAAAGCAACTCCGAACGCTAGGAAGAACAGACGGAAACTGAACAAAAGCGATCCTGGAGTATTTTCTTTTTGTTTGCAGATACCGAAATCTATTGTTGTTCTTTTTTTTTAAATATATGCGGTGGGTACTGCATCAATCACAGGTGCCACAGTGGACTGAATGTGATTTTAATTCTTAAAATATGAATAAGCATTGTAGACACACATATAGACACATATAGCACATATAGACAAAACAGGCTGTAAGCTATTCCTATCTTAGTTTTGCCCTCTGCGCTGCGTAGCATCGGCTGGTGAGCTCGGCCGATAACGAGTGTGAAACGGCTGCCGAATGTTTATACCAATTTGATGTAGCACTACTACTATTGATTGATGTGAGTGGTATGCAACTACTCATTTCGACCAATCAGTAGTATATATACATATATATTTTTCCATAACCATTCGCTACTCCTCCTTACCTACTATTAACCCTCACTTGTTATACTCCTAAAGTATACACAAATAGAGTCGATTAACCTGAGTCTTTCCCTCTCAGAAAAACTAAGTCAAGCACACTAATAATCGCAAACTTTTAAACTAGTTAACTGATAACTATTTCAGAAAAATGATAAGAATTCATCAATTGACACTGAAAATTGCTTTATCAATGCACCATGATTAAATAATCAATTATAAACGGTTACTGTACACATTCAACAGGTTTATATGGATTATGGTTGGTTGATGAGAGAAGTCCAATGCTATATGACTATCCCAACAGTCCTCCTAATCTATATGAGTTTACCAGGCATAACAACCTACATTTAAAAGACATTAAGCAGGCTGATAAAAACATCTTGGCTTATTTCAATTCTAACAGATATTTCCGAGAAGCCTTAACCGATATCAGTTGAAGTTTTCCCTTTTCACTGTAACTAGAACCCTTTATGCATGTTACATGGACTAGAATACGAAATAGAGTTGGAGCATATTTACTAGGTGAAATTAGTGATTTGTATCTAATAATGAAATAATTAAAAGCTTAAAAAAGGTAGAATTACCATTGTTGATGCCTGTCCTTCTGAAGGTCTGGGTGGTGGAGAGTGTCTAAACTGAGCAATTTGATGAATGGGAGGCAAAACAGTTGACATTGGCGACAATTTCAGCTGAAAACAATGAAGCAACAAAAAAAGAAAAAAAACTGCTTGTACTTATAAGTCCAAGTTAGTTAAGAGTCAACAAACCGACACCAATTTGAAAATTACAGTTAATTTCGCCTAGTCTCCTACTGTTTGTTGTAGTGATTTGACGATAAACCTACATCCTGCTATACAACTTATTGGACGCCATTTCTTCATCTGTTCGCCCTTAGCTTTCTCCACACTTAGTCCTACTTTGCTAAATAACATTGCTGGTCGAGAGATATGGTGACTCAGTATCTTACCTGAATATCTGCTAACCACTGAGTAAGAGCAACTCATCAAGGGACCTACAATTGAGATTTCCGGTTAATTGCAGGAGGAGGTATTACGGATTAGATCTCTAACCGCGTAGTGATATAGCCAGTGCGAGGTACACTCCAACTTGGACCACCTGCAGTAGCCTTCGCGACACCAGCCTAGCTGTTAAAGGTCAGTTCTACAACGATACGTTATGAGCAATTTTACTCTATGCCCGTGAAACCTGCGTTCACCAAGCAGAAGCTCTGTATATTTAATCACTGCTGCCTCCATAGAACTGCTAGCATCCAATGACCTCAATATGTAAGTAATTCTGAGATCCGTCAGTGTGTTTAAAGACAGTACTGTCATCTTCAGTGGCTTGGGCATACAGTGTGAATATTATTCCAGTGGCTTACATGCCACTGTCTGATTTATGCTTGTCCTAGGACTTGGTGAGAAAACCGAAGGGACAAAGTCAACCTTTGGCATGGTACCGTGGGATAAAAGATGGGTGCACCGTAACACACTGCGTGGGGCCCGAGATATAATGCGAATTTGTCGCTCGAAAATCATCACCAGATATGGCCAAGAATTGCAATCAGTGGTTAAATTGGTGCGATTTTCTCCTTTCTTCACGCAGTGAAAGTGACACAAAGTAATGAATCATCCTTTGAATGACATTGACAAGTAAGATTACTTGCATTGTGGATGTTGTTTAGTCTTTTGTGTGGCGCATCTCTCGGTGCTCATATTGTACCAGCTTTGTGTTTTAATAAATAAATAAACAAATTCAGCTATCCTTAGCTGATGGTTACCAAGTTTCATTTGCTTAGAGTAGATCTTCCCACACGAAACATCGCATATTTTATTCTCAACTGTCATCATCAGTAACCACTCTCACCATGGTCCAGATCCTTACGTTGACCAAAGAATATTCAAGTACCAACTGGTTGATTTTTGGTTCAAAAGCTTTCCTAGCTATCAATAAACTGCAACTAATAGTCCTGAATATTGGTGTACAAACTGACTGTAGTCTTTGATTTAAAATACAATCCATAAGGAAGTGTATCAACATACAGCAGTCATGTTCTGAAGACAGTAAGTAATTATAATAGAAGCTCTTGAAATATCCCTTCCTTCATAATCCAGGGTAGAGCCGAACACAGAGTACAACGCTGCAACAGTTCCAGTTTTCATAAATCAAAAACGTGATCCCAGTGTCTGTAGACACATTAGTCTGGAATAAGGACAGACTTTGAATTTTATTAAGGCGAATCAACTGCATCCACAGATCTGCTAGTAAAAGTGTAGTGCTTGTCTCAGCCTTTTTATTAACTGCACCAGTATGTCAATCACGTGAATATATTGCAGTGAAGAATTAATAAATTGGTTTCCTGGTAAAGATGACTGAATTTTAATAGAATATATAAAATAATTCGCATTCAAGAGATAAGTATGCATGTGGTGATGCTGATATAAGGACCTGAGGTGTTGCAACAGAAATCTTTAATGTAGATATGCCAAGCTGCGTTACTTCTGCTGACAGTCATGATTTTAGGGGGAATTAATAAGCTTATACAGAAAGTTAGTGGCAAGCCAAATAGTGATACAAAACTTTTCACCAACTTACCCCACTGAACAAGGATGGTCTAGGCCGAGGTGGTTCAAAGTGTGAAGATGGTGATTCTGATAAAGAACTTGATAAACCTGTCGAATCCAAGAATTTCTGTTCATGTTCATCAGCGGATTCAACAGTGCCTTCAGGTGTCACAATAACTCGACGATAAAGTGAATTGGCAACATGTGGAGGACAACGACCCAAAGGCAACCCCATGCATAAGAAGGCTTGTGACTGTAGAGGTAACTCAGGACGCGAAGGAGTCTTTGAATCTGCTGCTAAGACAAAACATTGGAAATGAATTAAATACAAAACACAAAACAAGCAAGGCATAAGTTTCAACCAGTTTCGAAATTATTCGCCTGATGTGACGTTCGATATATTCGTGGATGCAGTCAAATCATATATATTATTGTACGAATACTGAAAACGACAATATGCGAAGCTGCATGTCAACAGCGAAAGTGTCATAGGATGGGAAAATTGGACACTACCATCCAACTTCTATGCATATTTCGAACAATGGAAACATAACTTAAACTGAATAAATCCATTATGAATAATATCTATCAATTACTAAATAAGCAGTGATATTTATGTGCTTACAGAGTGTAGTAAATCCTACTGTAATTATAGTCGGACAGATAAATATTAAACAAACAAAATAATGCTCACATCGTTTGGATTCAGCTTTCGGTGCTTGAATAAGGCGTACTTTCGCACACCTTTCCCGTTCACGATCGTCTTCCTCTTTTAACTGCTCGTAACTCTTTTCATAGCTAAGCATATTGCGCGTGAAAACACGATTAACGTATGCCCTCTTAAAACGGGGGAACAATTTTAATAACTTTGCCAACTCTTGTACACAATCCTTCCCTTCGTATGTGCGTATCTTCTTCTCCATTCTGCGAGAATAAACAAATGTAGAGAAATTACGGGAGTATAGAAGAAAAGGTTGCTACATGGCTGTCCTGATGATTATGTTAAAATCTAAATCCTTTTCATTAACCAATAAACCATAGACCGATAAACAACTAATGCAACATTTTAAAAAAAAGTTATATAAGTCAGACAATAGACAGTTATAATTACTAAGGCTTAGTGCCACACCAAAAAGATCGCAAGTAGTCACACCTCTCACATTTCCACATCATGATACTTTACACCAGATATCTCATTACTAAATACAAATCAAGCTGTTGGTTAAAATTAACTTATCAGAATCTACTACTTTATTTGTTTTCCGTAAAGCCTCTTATTATTAAATTTGAAGTAGTGGTGCTTTTAGGAGGTAGAGGTATGAAAATAGTAACAGAACGGGCTGTAAGCGTAAAGCTAAGCTTGTTATATCTTTTAAAATATTGTATTTTAAAATACTGGTTTATCCTTTCTAAACATCCTCACTCATTACAGCCTCGTATTCTGCGATATTATTACGAAAGGTTGACACTCATCAGTCTTACAGAGTTGGTCAAATGTAAGCATCTGAATTCGTTGGAAAAAACATTTTCAGGAAAATAGAGAGGCTCCTAATGTTTGATTAGGTGACACTAGCCACGGAAATAGGAAGACCTGGTTATATCAAAAGTACCACTTTCATAAGCTATCAAGTTATCCCTAGACGACATGAAACTGTAAATGTGAAATGGCCCGAATGGTTAATATATAAGCATACAAAACCCGTGTTTAACTCAATGAACTTTTAACTGAAAAACTTTCAGTAGATATCCAAATTACGCATAGTGTTACGCCTTGAATTTCCCAAGAGCTGATCTTAGATATGTTGGAAAAACTAAGCAACTTCATAAGGATCATTTAGTTTTGTTTCCTTACTGTGTTTCTGTGGTGGTTGGGACTTCAAATTTGTGTACTCCTAAGCAAGGTCTTATCTATCAAATCGGTACTGAAAACGTTGTGAAAACTATAAAAACAAGTAATGTAGCAAAATAACATTTAAATTATTAGTACTCACACATCATCTAACGGGACAGAGGAAAACCGCCCACGACCACGTGTTTTAGAACGCATTGCAGGTATGAAAAACTGTTGGGATCTCCCAGTAGAATTAATTCCACACATAAAACCAACGTTGTCATTAATGGTTGAATCCGCATTTGGTGTTTGTAGTGAAGTAGACGACTCACCTACCCCAGGGGATGTATTGACAGGCAATGTACTCATAGCATTCATATCACCTGAGGTGTTAAACACTATTAGAGTAATTTCATTCAAGTGTGGACTTACTATTCAAATTGACGATGTAATGAGGAACATCGGGTTCTCCTAAAATAAATTTAAACCAAGAGATACATAAAAATCAGGAAAAACGAGTATATATATATGAGTATACAAGTAATACTATCAGTGTACTCTTTCAGGGGACACAATGGGCTTCTACATCAGGTTTATTTGAGACAATACAAACGACACTCGAACCAAGCATGTTAGTCACTGCATGAAATTTTGAATAATTATATAGTGACAGATACCAATACATTCTGTTTTTTCATATAAAGAACCATGGATATCGCTAAGACTGAATCCCGATAAAAAGAACTTGAGATTCAAAGCGTGTTTATCCATAGCCTAGTAAAGACATACCTCAGCTACAGCACGTTAACCGTAAGTAGCCGCACGTTTGTGCAAATTTGAAAATATACGTCCTGAACATATTCACTGAGTATTTTCAGTATGTGAGGAAAATTTGCAGATACATACAAATCTACGTGGTTTCAGTCACCGAACTTCAAGAACGGAAAAAGCGCAGTGACGTAGTGCTAGGCATATGCATAGCAGGGCACTGGTGTTCAGGATCTCAAAAATCAGTGCTAAGTGCATCTGAAATTTCCAGTCATAGCATAGACAGTCTCTAAACACCCGTTCTCAACATATCTAAGAGTCAGGCAGATAATATCATTATGAATTTGATAAGTGGTCTGTATTTCACAATGAAATAGGATGCAACACTGAATGCACACTTAGTGGGCATAAGCAACTGAGTCATATGATTCCAACCCAAAAACAAGTGTTATCATAAATGAGTACTTTAAAATACCCGACAACATTCACTGAACCTTCCTACATATCTCATAATCACGCAGAGGTCAGAAATTAGCAACTGTAAGAAAGTTATAACAAACCAAAAAGATGAAGGATACTTGAAACTGGCAGAGAAATAAGAACTAAGGTTGGTACGTGACAATCAGAGTTCTTTTCGGGGCATTTTCAAACACTTTTACCGTCTGAAATCGTAAAGCTGAATAGTATTTCGAATTATGGTCTATGGTCAGAACTAGGTCAAACTTTACGATAGTTACTGCATTTTGGTTCTTTCCCGTGATGAGCAGCACCAGCAAACATGCATATTTTGAACGATATGAAGACAGTGCTCTTAGAACTCCTTAGAGTAGTGAACTTTAAAAGGTGCATAACGATCAAATCTAAAGGGAAGTCTTCCGAAACAGTCTGGTTAAGATGTTGATACTTCTTACTCCATAACTATCCTACTTTACACTGGTATATTCCCATTGTGCGAAACTCAACACGGCATCTCGTCTGGTTTAGACTGATAATACGACCGTTCTATTCTACAAACAATCAGAACATATGATTATATGAGTAAGAATCTATAATAGCACATTATCCGTTCTTAGTGTAAGATTATTCGGTTTCATTAAGCTTCAATTAGGAAGACAAAACTGTGTATCACGGTTGCAGTAACAATTAATACACGTTAATAGCGGTAGACAAAAACACACCAAAAACCATGAGATCCTTTCCCAGTTTAAGTTGTGATGATTGCATTTCCGAAGGTAGATCTTTGAACAAACCTTGCATGATGAAGTGTACGGGAAAACACCTGCCAAAATCTAGACAAGACAGATAGAATCATATTTCATGTCCAAGTTAACTTATTCGAGCTGTCGCACTTCGCTAAAGAGTGGAAACGCACAAAAGTGAAAGGATATCCCACTGAAAGAAATGAAATGAACAGACTTCGTGGACACACGGCGAAAGTTATTATAAATGCACTTATTCTTGCCCAGGAACACCACCGCTCAGTTTCCGCCACGATTATAACCAGGCATGCCTAAGACTATTGCAAAGGGAACATGTGAACCAACTGATTCACTGTTAGCTGTAAACTTACATCAAAACCAATAACCTTCAGACTGCACTTTAATAACCCCAGCCAAATTTCGTACGAATACAAAATGCCTTAGTTACGTACACATTTAAAATATTGATACTTGTTCTAGTCACATTACCAGAACGCGAAAACACAAGTGAGAATGTACTGCAAACTACCTTAACCATGTCATCAGTGTAACAGTTCGAAACTCATGAAATATCACCACGAAATCACATAAAATCCAGTGTCAACACATACGATTAATACAGCTTCACAAAACCAACGATACCGACATCCTGAAGTGACAATCATATATGCTGATATTCGTACCAGTTAGGCAAGTGACCCACAATGCTTTTTCGCCGTTTTAGAAAGCAATTTCATTATCTGGATTTTGCATTTTCTAACATGTAAAGCAGTAAGACGAATTAAATTGGGTAGGAGCGACAAAATTAAGAGATTAATAAATTTGATATTGCGAGATTTATACTACTCATATCTGAGGCAGTAGGGTAACAAGTGCTTGTGAAAAATCATAAACTAGTAATGAACGTTTTACGACTTCATGTCACATTAAGGCCCTAAGAATTACCCGATTCATTTCCTGTATCGATGTTGAAGTTCTCCAAATAGTCAGGAGCCTCAACAGCAGACGTTACAGAATTCGAAGCTATCGCACTGCCGACTCTGCCATCCCGCTGGTCTCCACTCTCTGTGATTTGACTTTCAGAAGTCACTAAAAAGAAATTCAGCGCATAAAAACGAGAAACATGTCTTACCGGTGTTAGAATAATCATCCGTCATCAGGATGGGGAAAAAGCAATATGTCCGCGCTAAGCTTCAGTGTGACGGTTCAAACAAAGTGGTGTTGCACTTATTCAAAAGACAGCGAAAACTGACCTGTTATGAATAATCAAGTAAGTTACTTCTAAACATAGACCAATATTTCAATTATTAGTAAAAGCACCTATTTACTGAGTACTTTGGGATAGAATCTAGCTCAGCAGTTAAATATTCAATTTCAGTTGTCTTCATTGGGGTTTATTACCGTATATTCATCCTTAAAGTTAACGGTTTACCTCAAACATGCAGCAGCTTGAACTGATTCTTCTATATGAATTCGTCTAGAATATATTAGGGCATAAAGTCAAACACACATTGTATTATGCTACTTAGAATGACGTTAAACATTTGCATGTAATTTCCCCATGATCAAAATACCTTGCTCACAAATGATGTCTCGCCGCACATACAGTTTCGCCTTGACCATTAACACAAATTTTCAGTTCCGAGTACCTTAATGAAGCTATGAGAAGTTATTCTCTTTAAATGGTGATTTGAAACCTACGGAGGATGACTGACTCCAACTACACTATTTTCTACAGCTTATTTTACTTGTCTACCTTTCCTTACCGTTCACTTTTCTTTCCAACACTACCAGCAAAGCAAAACTGAAGACACTTAACTCTTCTGAGATTTTTCTGAGTGAACAACTTCTGACAAAAGTAGTACTTTTCAGATGGCTTGCGAAAAACTGAAATTACACGGAGCACATTCGAGGGGGTCATCTCCAGGTATTTATACAACTATATCATCGTTGTTAGAATTCTTAAAGTTAGTACCTTTGAGTAAGATTCAGACGGAAGAGGCATTTTATATCGGAAGTTGAAAAAATGATATGATAAGAAAGCCTATATTGTTGATTTTACTAGGTGGCGAACTAGAGTAAATTTCATCTGAGAAATCACTGTAACTAACAGATAAAAATGTACTGCATCTAGCTGTTGATCTTCAGTCTTCGTATATACTAACCATTCAGAATTGTCAACGACATCCCAGTGAACTGTAAATTGGTAATAATTTCTAAAAATTAAATGCCTCAGAATCGGCTCTTAAACCTTGTTAAATTGTATTTCCATGTAAAAGACTCCAGATGACGAAATAAGTATGGTGACCTGGTCAGAGAATGCTAATATAATACTCGGTTTCATATCATGTGAACGCATTTCTTTCACACTGTGCAATTAATGAGCCGTACGCTTGCGAGATCGAGAGTTGCGTTGGTGGTAAAGCCGTAGAATGCTTGCAAACCGCACATGTGGTCTGCGTTTGACCCCAAGCCGACGCACTCCTAAATATCTCTTGGCTGGAAATAAGCCATTTGAAGGGGGAAGATTAAGTATGAGACTATCAACCTCACCCTGTAAAAATAAAACCACTGCTACCGAAACTTTAAAGCTCAGTCATGAGGCTCCGTTTTCCGTTGAGGGCGCAAAATAATAAAAAAAGAAGAATTTTGGATAGACATGCTATCCCCCACAGGAATTAGTGGAAAGTTCTTTACTTGTCTTGTTTCATTACATGTTGAGATGCTCTAACACGTCCGACTCTAACTATAAGGACTGAGTGACAGCTTGGACTCTGCTCTGAAACCCATCGTGTACCGACTAGAGAATTATAAATGTTCAGACCACAGGCACTCAGGCACTTTTTGGTGGAGGCAAAATAGGTAACAAAACGTCGCAGTAGGAAGTCAGGTTAACAGCCTCCTACGCTCTAGGAAGCTGGAGAAAACTTCAGCTACGAAATAACATTAGATACTCATTTTGTGAAACAAGGACAGTGACGTAGTCTTCGGTCCTTTATGAGGTACTGGAAAAATTAGATAAAAACAATGTAGTGACCAATATTTCTGAAGGCAGGCGCAACTTTTGGAGACTCATTGCATCTTTACTTCTACTTCCAAAATGTTTCAACTATTTAGTTGCTCATTGTCTTTGATTTATTCAGTTCTCTTCGGGATCCCAAACCCCACTCCTGAATTTTCGACAGCGGCTTTTCACTTACGTATAAACTATCGTTGCTTCCCCCAAATACACTACACACTGCTTATGATTAATGTTCTAAGAAACAGATATCCGATTTGTCCTTCCCCCTATAATGAGGTTCCTTTTGCAGCAACATCTTCACAACATGATTGTGATCTCCCTTCCTGTATTATATTTCTCTTCTTGTTGGTGTTGCACCCTTAATTAGTTTTTCTTCATTTGCTTTACGTATAGTATGCGCACGATCACCTCATAGTGAAAGCTCCTAGGACTCTCCCACCTTGGAAGCAACTTTCCTGCTGTGATCCCACCGAGCAGTGTATTTGTGCCCTTTACACTTCACCTTACCATCCGTGTCAGTGGGCCCCTACCTTTCCCATCTCAAGCTTTCTTTGTATCCGCCTTCTGTTTTTCGTTTACTTGTTGGATAGTTCGTCACCGTCGGCTGTCTATTTCATTGTCCAAGCATTTACCGAAGCAACACTGTACGCTTCCTGTTAACTTGTGCTTTTCTCTTTCATTCCTTTCACTTGTCGGTTGGCCGCTTCACTCATTGGTAGGATTGGACATCTAGTGACACACATGCTGAACAGAGTCTTCGTCCACCCAATTTAACCTATGCGCTACATCCTTTAGTTCAGTTTCACCGTCTAATATCTTTACATGCCAGAATGTTTTCAAAGGTAAATTTACACACGTCATAGAAACTTCCAGACATGAAGCGGCGTTTGGGTATTAAGGATGACAGTACTTTCTTTCTACCTCACTCAATCTCATTAGCCCGAACGGCTGTTTATTGCGCCTCTCAGGCGTATGTTCCATATCATATAAGAGTTTACACACAACCTCTGCAACCTCAATGTCTTTTTAAACTGTAAATCCACATAACTCCATCCTTCCTAACAAATATCTAACTTTCTTGTTATTATTCGACTATGGAAATTTGCTTAGTGTGCTAGTTTATTCTAAGCCCACAAAAACAGGTGAGATCGGGTGCCGTGCTAATGGTCTGGCACCACAGGAAGATACCCATCACTACTGAGACTTCAAAACGTAATAAATAAAACTTATTCCCCACTTGAATCTGGGAGGACGAATAACACGGCTGGCGAAAGACTTCAAGAAGGCAGTTGACCGATGCATCTTCCTTCAGTAAAAGCGAAAGCAGGCATATGTACGCGGAATTTCAGCATCATGTTCGTGAATGACTGGGAAAGCTGTTCAAGTTAACATACAAATGGAAAGATGTGGTACACAAGTGCTAGGAATCTGTTAGGGCGGATGGAATGGAAGTGGACTTTCCAGATTATTGGTGGTGGAGTCAATAATCCAGGAGATATCCATGAGCACGCAAAGGGATTGGCTTTCATGAAGTCAACAACAACAACATCGAAAGCTCTTATGAAAGGGGAACCAATCTCCCTGTGGATAAGGATGGCAAGGTTCAATTCAAAAATTAAGAGAGTTACAATATCCAATCCTGCGCTCCTGCAGAAAACACAGACTTCCTGTGAAGATCGGAAACTGTAAATAGCAATGGACAAGGCTCCACCCAGATGGCGACATCAAAATCCTAATAGGCAGTATGAATGCCAAACTGGAAGCAGCCAATACGGGAGGAGAACTCATCATGGGTCATTGTCTCTCCATGAAATGAATGAAGATGGAGAATTCTTCACAGAATCCCGGGAGTTTCATAGTTTGGCAAATGAAGGCCGTACGCACAAGTAGAAGAATATCAACAAGGAGACATACACTTCGCAGTAGGGCCACACCAAAAATCAGACAGAAATAATCTCAGTCTGAAAATAGTGGAGAAGCAGCCTACCAGATGCACAGTCGAGCAGGTTTATGTCTGGATCACTGCCTAGGGATCGTAATCCTCAAGGAAAGGTAAGGAGCCTCCGTAAAAAGCCGAAGGTAGGCGAAAATTTAGGTCTCATGCTCAAAACCTCGCCTAGATTACTAGCTCGCTAGTTTTCTAACCGGTCCCAAGCCCGGATAAAGAGGGAGGGTTGGGGCGTGGTGCTAGCAACCCCACCCCCAAAACTTAACCAAGTTGCTGCAGAAACTTCAAAGCACAAATATATTAAAAATTCTAAAAATATGAACAATCACCTTATTTTTCAATGGAATCGGAGAAGTGAAATGACGCAGGCTGGTAAAAGCCTCCAGGAAGCCAGTCAGCCGATGTACCTGGTTTCGATGAAAGCAAAAATAAGGATGGGGACGTGGAATATTCGTACAATGTACGAAGCTGGAAAGGCTGCCCAGGTAGCCGCAGAAATGAGAAGATATAAAATAGAAGTGTTGGGAATCTGCGAGAGCAGATGGAACGGATGTGGAAGGGGCCAATTACCAACTGGAGAGACAATAATCTACTCCGGTCACCCAGAGGACAATCACGAGCACAGCAAGGGAGTGGCCATTATGATGTCACCAGAAGTAGCCAAAGCTCTCATGTAGTGGGAACCAATCTCCTCCAGGATAATGACAGCCAGGTTCAACTCAAAAGGAAGGAAGGTTACAATCATTCAATGCTACGCGCCTACAAACGTCTCAGAAAAAGAGAAGAAGGAGGATTTCTACAGACAAATACAAACAGTAATGGACAAAGTCCCAAATTGCGATATCAGAATCCTGATAGGTGATATGAATGCGAAACTGGGAGGAGACAAAACAGGAAGAGAACTCACCATGGGTCGTAAGGCCCTCGGTGAAATGAACGAAAATGGTGAACTCTTCTCAGACTTCTGCGCGTTCAATGATTTGGTGATTGGTGGCAGTGTGTTCAAACACAAGGATATACACAAGGCGACATGGATTTCACCAGATGGACACACCAAAAACCAGATAGACTTCATTTCAATCTCAAGGAAGTGGAGACGGAGCCTACTGGACACAAGATCGAGGAGAGGAGCAGATGTGGGTTCAGACCACTATCTAGTACAAGGGACTTTCAAGTTGAAGCTGAAAGCCTCGAGGACAGCTGGGGATAGGCCACAATGCAAGTTCAACACGCAAAAACTGAAGGACACAACGACAAAGGACACTTTCACGGCAACTGTCACAACAAAGCAGGAAAAATCACGTGACATCACGGAAGAATCATGCGTGGAAGACCATTGGAACTCTCTGGAGGTAA